TTTGGTGCTGTATGACTCCATGACTCTATGACATCCAAGGACACACATTCCACACTGATGTCGTCAGTTTGAAAGTATTACAAAGTTGTGCCGAATACTCATGAATTGAAAAACAGTGTGTGATCCTGTAAGAGATTGTGCTTTGTCTGTGCTTGAAAGTTTGCAAGCACGTGCATACACGGAATGCCCAAATGGAAAAATTTTGTATTGAACAGCCAAGCAGCATTTTTACCAAGACAACAGTTTTCAAATTTAGCCAATCAACTTAAACCAAGCCCTTAGATACTAAAAACCTATCAAATTTAAATCTGATGTGTTGACAACATCCAACCAATCCTACGTAAGAGATATTGTTATGTCATAATGAGGGCATTTGGAAAGTCAGTGAGCCAACTGCCAACTGCCAACTGCCAACTGCCAAGAGACAACACCTTTTAGCTCTTTGAGGAAGCACCATCTAATTAAAAGGTACCACAGCATTTCTAGCTAAAAGTCTTCACACAAGCAATTACAGAGAAAATCATTCTTGATGGCAGAATCAGTGGAAGAAAGAAATTTGTGATGTGAAATCAACAGGAGAAAGGTTGGAAAAAGCAGACTGTTCCAGAAGACAGTCTGTGCGAACTTGGAGGGGTTATGTTTCAATTTATCTTTGTCTTATTAATAAGTGAGACTTGTTTTTGTTTGAACAGTGTTCCAGCAGAATTTAGTTTAGTTCGGCAATAGTTAGTACTTAGGGAGAATTATTCAGTTTGTTAGTAATTCTATTAATTTGTTCATTGTTAGGGTTGAATAGCTAAATTTTTTTTGTAATTTATAAAGGGGATCAGGGATTTTCTTTCTTTTAACCACTCTTCTAAAAGATTATGAGAGGAAAGGTGAGCTTCTCTGGGTGTTTTAGGGGTAATTATTGGAAGGGAGCCTCTACTCCCATCATAAATTGGAGCTTGTGTTTTGGTTTAATTATTAGAGGGGTTCGGCCATTCACCCTCCGTAATATAAGTCTCTGACAATAAAAAATGCTATTCCCACACTAGAAATCTCTATTAAACAGTTAACAAGAGAACTGAGACAGCAGCTGTGAGGTTTTATTCAGATGGGACAATGACAAGTTTAAATCCCCACCTGATCTGCTGCTCAAAGTCACCTCCATTTCACCGGTCAGTTTCCCAAGCTTCAGGAAATTGCTGCAGAAATATTTGGACCAACTGTGAGAGACATTCAGCACCTTATCTTCTGCCTGGGCACCCTATGGCCGAGAGGACTCAACATTGAGTTCTCTAATTTCAAATAACCTTCCCACCCAACCCCCAGCTCCCTTTCCAGCCCCACCTCCTCCCTTCCATTCCACCTTCTGACTCTCCCTTCCAGCCACCAACCACAGTGTCCACCTGTCACCACCATTCCACTATCCTTCTACCCCCCCCCACCCTTTTTTCATTTCTAGCTCCATCTACCCCCACATCCAGTCTTGAACAAGGGTAATATCCAAAACGTTGACTTCTCCTTTCCTCCTGATGCTGCCTGGTCTGTTGTTCTTCCAGCCTCCTGTTTCTCTGCCTTGGATTCCAGATTCTGCAGTTTTTTTTTGTCTCTAAGCCCACCCACACTGTCCAGTCGCTCCTTTTCCTGAGCTATTTCACTTCCTATAGGGACTACAAACCAAGTGAGGAGATGGTGAATGAAGGAGCAGCTTTTATATAAATTGGATCCCATAATATCCACACCAATCTTCAGGCAGTCTGACTATCCTGTGGGCAATCAGGGGTGGAAATGACCCTTATGCTGTGTGAGAAGATCCAGCTGAGAGAGCTGTTTACTCGGTGTTTTGTGCTGAACTGTTTGACTGGAGCTGTGTGTTGGATATTGAGTGTGTTTATTGGAAGCATTTCCCTTCTGATTTCCAGGCTGTTTTGTTGATGAATCATTCCTGAATATGAGAAAGTGACGTGTAATTATCTGGGAGCTGCAGACTGTCTGAGGATTCTTGCTGACTTCCTGTTGTTGAGTTCTGTGTGAGTGAGTGTGTTGGGAGCTGGTCATTATCCTGTGGCTTGTAATTTTTACAGTTCCTCTGAGGGAACATTGCCTGCTTGGTTGGCAGGGGCTATGGAATAGAAATCAGCAGTTCACTGTGTCAAGAATCACCCACCATTCAACAAGATCATGATGCTTCTGTGATCGAACTCCATTCTCATGCCCTTTCTTCAGGTCCTTTCAAACCTCTGGTGAAGAAAAACCTGAGATGAACAATTGATCTCTCATCATGTATCATTTGTGTCAGTAAGTTCTAAGGTTGCTATTGCCCATTCCATGTTTAAGCGTTTCCCAATTTCACACCAGTCATTGAACCATGTCTTCATTTCTATAATCTGATTAGTCCTATTCCAATTTCATATGGCTGAGATAATAATCCAGAAATGATTAAATTTGAGGTCCTGTTTTTCAATTTTTTCCTCACACTGATGGCGCAAAATCTCTTGCCATACCTATGTGATGGTATCTACATTGATTACGATGACTGATTCCTCCCATTCCCACTACAAATTCCTCACCATGTCCTGAACCATGACACTGCACAGGCAATACAGCCTCCTTTGCTACAGAGACTGGTGTCAGTCCCCCTCTCTATACTGCTCCTACAATCACTATATTTCTATTTGCTCGTCTCACTTGAATTCCTTCTTGTATCAAAGTGCCGTGGTCAGTTTCTGCATCCACTATGCGGCCCTCATTCTCTAACACTCATCCACATAAGCTTAAAAAACCTCAAATCTGTTGGACAGTTGTAAAGGCTGAGGTTCCTACTCGCTGCCCTCTGGACCCCAATATCTGCCTCACTTGCAGTCACATCGTACTCTCCCTGACTACTGACCAACTCAGAAAACCCTATCTTTAGGTGTGTGGCCACCTCCTGGCACAAAGTATCCAAATGACCTTGCCCATTCCCTAATGTATCGCATTGCTCTGACAACCTATTACTTAGTTAGAATGCAGTCATTTATTTTTCTTTCTTATTTGTTTTATTAAGCTTCCCACTTTATTCTGCACTATTTTAAACCATTGAAATAGAATTGCTCTTAACCACTTTGTTCAAAGTCCCAAAGAACCCTTCATTCAGCTACACTGAAGCAATATTTTCCTGAGCTTCTAACACTTTTTGCCCAGTGTGTTTTCATCAAATAATTTTGTAACTGTGGGAAGAAATTTAAAATCCCCAATGAATTAAAATTTCTCCTAAGTGTTTTTTCTTTATAATAAACAAATACTCTCAGGGCAAAATCTCACCAGCAAGACACAGGCTTACTCAAAGTGAATTGAGAATCTGTTTTACACTCCCCTGACTTGTCTTGTCCATTGCCCTCACTGTGCCTGGGAAGGTGAGGGTCTGGGTGGAGGAAAGAAAGAAGCCACATTGTTTGTTTCTGGTCACTATCTAGGGTTCCTACTGGAAACAGAGGATGTGTGACAGTCAAATGAGGATAAAAAAGTGGCTTGTGTCTAATACCCCCCACACAGGAGAATAGCAGAATGGCTTCCCTGTGGAACAGTTTCGAACTGAGGAGTCAGCCCCTTCAGCAAAGGAAGAGACAGGGTTGGAGGAAATCATGTCTCCTTTTCCTGTTTTACAGAAGGAATGCATTGTACTATACCAGAGAATACAGAGAGGATAGACACTGCAGATAGATCCTGACCATTACCCAAGGAACAATGGCACAACTGTAGGAAGACATCCAGTCCCTTCACAGCATTGCTCAATACAGGGAAGGTTGGGCAGTGAAACCATCATCTGAAAATCGGTCGGATCAGGGGAGCTTTGACATATCATCAGATCTGAAACTGGTCAGTGGTGAGGGATGTGTAAATTAGGTGGGTTACAGGGAAAGGGTGGGGGGTGATGGTCTGGATAAGATGCTGTGGATGCTGTGAGGGTTGGTGTAGACTTGCTGGTCCACACTGTAGGGATTCTATGATTCTATGTGAAAAAGCCTTCACACAGTTGTCCGGCTTTCTCGTTCATCCATACTGGGAAGAAGTACTTCAAGTGTGCCATTTCTAAGGGAAAACCTTCACAACATCTGCAAGGCTTCTTACACACAAGAAAAATCACTCTGGCGAAGCCTGTTAGGATGAGTTATGAGTTAGGTTTGTTATGAAGCCTACATGACATCTTCACCATCCTGAGGCACCAAAGGATTCACATAGGTGAGAAACTCTTCAGGTGTGAGGAAGCTTTCACCCACTGCCCTGATCTCCTGAAACAGTGACTGATCCACACTGATGACACATCGTTTGTTTGTGAGGTATATGACAGGCTTTCACACAATCAGTGTGTCTCCTATCTGTCACCACATTCACACAGGGGGAATTTCCAGGAGCTTTTCCCCTGTGTCATGTAGGCTTTGTAACAAACCTCAAAACCCCATCCTAAAGGGCTTCTCCAGAGTGATTTTTCTTGTGTATATGAAGCCCTGTAGATGTAGCGAAGGCTTTCCCTTACAAACCCCTACCCTTTACCCATAACCCACCTAATCTACACATCCCTGAACAGTATGGACAATTTAGCATGGCCAATCCACCCTAACCTGCACATCTTTGGACTGTGGGAGGAAACTGGAGCACCCGACAGAAACCCATGCAGACACGGGGAGAATGTGCAAACTCCACACAGTCACCTGAAGGTGGAATTGAACCCAGGTCCCTGATGCTGTGAGGGCGCAGTGCTAATCACTGAGCCACTGTGCCGCATATACTTGGCAAGTGAACATCTTCTCCCCTGTGTGAATGCCTAGGTGTCTGTGGAGGTTTGAGGACTTTGAGAATGATTTGTTACACATATTGCATTTGAACAGCTTCTCCCATGTGTGAACATGGTGAGGTCTGCGAAGGTTTGATTATTGAGAGACTGATAGGTTGCAAACCTTGCACCTAACTCCTGTGTGCACGGAAGTGTGCATGGAAGTTTCACACTTGAATGGCTTTTCCCTCATGTGAATGCGTCAGTGTTTCACGAGTGTCAGTAATTGTGTGAAGGCTCGGTCACATGCCTCATACTTAAAGGGTTTCTTGGCTGTGTGAGTCATCCGGTGTTTCATGAGATCAGAGGAGCGGATGAAAGCTTTCTCACAAATCTCACATCCAAAAGGTTTCTCCCCTGTGTGAATCCTCTGGTGTATCAGGAACAATGTTGAACTCGTGAAGGGTTTGTTACATACCTTGCACGTGAACTGTTTCTTCCTTGTGTGAATCCTCTGGTGCCTGAGGAGATTGGACAGTTGGGCAAATGTCATCTCATGTACCTCACACTTGAAGGGTTTCTTGCCTGTGTGATTCCTGTGGTGTCTAAGGAGATTTGAAGATGTCATGAATGCTTTCCCTCACACTTGAAAGTTTCTTTTCCATGTTACTGTCCTTGTATAAACAATGGTTGTAACCAAGACACCTTGTTTGTTAGAAGAAAGCATGAATCTGTGGAACGCACCTCTCACACCATGCATTTGAACAGCCTCTCACCTGTATCACAGAATCCTTACAGGGGAGGCCACTCAGCCCAATGAGTCTACACCAACCCTCCAAACAGCATTCCATCCAGACCCACCTCACTACCCGTTCCCTGTAACCCTGCATTTCCCATAGCTAATCCACCTAGCCTACACATTCCTGGACACTGTGGGCAATTTAGCATGACCAATCCAACTAACCTGCACATCCTTGGACCTTGGGAAGAAACCAGAGCATCTAATAAATCTTTCACACAGTTGTTGGACCTTCTGAAACATCAGTGAGTGCACATGTGATACAATCCCTTCCAGTGTGACTTTTGTCAGGATTGTTTCACCTCCTCCTCCTTTCTCACCAAACACTGACATCTCTCTAAGATAACAAGGTGTAGAGCTGGATGAACACAGCAGGCTAAGCAGCATCAGAGGAGCAGGAAGGCTGACGTTTCGGGCCTAGACCCTTCTTCAGAATTTCTGAAGAAATTCAAACACAGGGGAACTATTGTCCCCGAGCACTGTTTGTCTATACAGCGTTTGTCTCAAAACTCTCCTGCCATCAGTTCAATCATTCAAGAAGGTCAATTTTACCTTTGACCCAATCACCAAACATCACCAACTGATGGTCAGGAATCAGTTGATCAGTTACATAAAGACCAATGGCAGAAACGTTTGACCCTGAATCAGCAACGTCCTCAAATTAAGGGTTGGCGATGAGAAAAATCTAAAAGTTTGGTCAAAGAGGTGGAATTGAAGAAAAGTTTGAAATTTAAAGAGAGAGAGATGAAGATGCAGAGACTGAAGAAGAGAATTCATGACTATGGAGACTGAAAGCTGAAGACACAGCTGTCAATGTTGAAGGAAGGTGGGGGTCTGTACTAAACGTTAGAATTGGAGGAATATGGAAATCTCAGAGAGAGATGTGACTAGAGGTGACAAACTTAGGGAGGGGGTGAGACCGTGGTGCGATTTGTACTGGAGCATGAGGATTCTAATTTGGAGGCAGTGGAAGTTTGGGAACCAGTGTAGGTTAGTCAGCACAGGAGTGATGGGTGTGTGTGTGTGTTTCTGAGAGTGAGTGTTAGAAAAGAGAGTATAGAGTTTTAGCTCAGCTGAAATTTGTAGAGGTGGAAGATGGGAAGCTGGACAGGAGAGCATTGGAATGGTCTGGTTAATCTAGAAATGACATCAGCATGGATGAGGATTTCAATAGCAGGTGGACTAATGGGGTAGGTATCTTAAATACCTCATGAGATTATCCCTTAATTTTCTACATTCATGGGAATGCAAAGTTGGTCTGTGCAGTTTGTCCTCGTAACTGAACCTTTCAGCCCCAGGACTATCCAAGGCCAATATATCCTTCCTGAGGTCTGGTGCCTAGAACTGAACACATTTCTCTAGATAGTGTCCAAACAGAACTCTGTACAGCTGCAACAAGGACACAGTCTGTTTTGGGAGGAGAAGTTGCTGGTTGTCTTTTCAGGATGATCCTTTTTTTTTATTCACTCACAGGACATGGGCATCACTGGCTGGCCAGCATTTATTGCCTCTCCCTTGTTGCCTTTGAGAGGGTGGTGGTGAGCTGCCTTCCTATACCGCTGTAGTCCATGGACTGAAGGTTGACCCACAATGCCATTAGGGAGAGAATTTCAGGATTTTGACCCAGTGACAATGAAGGAACACGATATATTTCCACATCAGGGTGGTGAGTGGCTTGGAGAGGAACTTGCAGGTGGTGGTAGTCTGAGATATCAACTGCCCATGTCCTTCTAAATGGTAGAGGTTATGGGTTTGGAAGGTGCTGTCTAAGAATCTTTGATGAAATTCTGCAATACATCTTCTCGATAGCACACACTGTTGCTACTGAGCATTGGTGGTGGAGGGAGTGAATGCTTGTGGATATGACGCCAATCAAGCTGGCTGCTTTGTCCCCAGTGGTGTCAAGCTTCTTGAGTGTTGTTGGAACTATACCCATCTGGCAAGTGGGGAGTATTCCATCACATTCCTTACTTGTGCCTTGTAGAAAATGGACAGTCTTTGGGGAGGTGATTTACTTGCTGTAATATTCCTGGCCTCGGACCTGCTATTGTAACCACTGTGTTTATGTGGTGACTCCAGTTAAGTTTCTGGTCACTGGTAACCCAGATGTTGATAGTGGGGTGTACAGTAATAGCAATGCTATTGAATGTCAAAGGGCAGTGGTTAGATTGTCTCTAGACATAGAGGCATACAGTCGTACAGCAATGAAAAGAGACCCTTCGGTCCAATTATTCCATGCTGACCATAATCCTAAATAAACTAATTCCACCTGCCTACTCTTGGCCCATATCCCTCCAGACATTTCTTATTCATGTACTTGTCTTTTAAACACTGTAACTGTGCCTACATCCACCACTTCCTCTGGACGTTCATTCCACACACAAACCACTCTCTGTGTAAAAAAAAAAATGCCCCTCATGTCTTATTTAAATCCTTCTCCTCTCTCCTTAAAATGATGCCCCCTAGTCTTGAAATCCCCCAAACTCTAATTGAAGATGGTCATTGCCTGCCATTTGTGTGGTGCAAATGTCATTTGTTACATGTTAGCCCAAGCCTGGATATTGTCGAGAGCTTGTTGCATTTGAACATAGACTGCTTCTATATCTGAGGAGTTACAAAGGGTGTTGAACATCGTGTAATCATTGGCCAAAATACTACTTCTGACCTTATGATGGAGGGAAGGTCATTGATGAAGCAACTGAACATGGCTGAGCATAGATACTACCCTGGGAATCTCCTGGAACTGAAATGTCTGACCTCCAAAATCCACAACCATCTTCCTATGTATTGGTATGACTCCAACCAGTGGAGAATTTTCCCCAATTCCCATTGATTCCAGCTTTGCTAGACTTCATGATGCCACACTTGGTCAACTACGGCCCTGATGTCGAGGGCTGTCATTTTCACCTCACCCCTGGAATTCAACTCTTTTGTCCATGTTTGAACCAGGTTGTGATGAGGTCAGGAGCTGAGTGGCCCTGGTGGAACCCAAACTGGGTATCAACTGAGCAGGTTATTGCTGAGTAGATGTTGCTTGATAGCACTGTTATGACACCTTCCATCATTTTACTGATGATCGAGAGTAGACTGATGGCGCAGCAATTGTCTGGGTTGGATTAGTCCTGCTTTCTGTGTACAGGACATACCTGGGCAGTTTTCCATTTTGTCAGGTAGATGCCAGTATTGTGTTTGTACCAGAACAGCTTGAACTAAGAGTATGGCAGAGTAATATGCAGTTTTGGCAGAGGAACCACTAATGCTTGATATAGTCCCCTTAGATCTGATGATCGATGGTGTTATGATTTCAGTAGACTGAAACTTGGCTTGCTGGACCTGAAGTTTTATTTTAGCAATTTGGTTACCATTGGATGTCTGACAGAGAACATGTTCTCATGAGGTTGTCAATGTACTTTTAAGAGGAAAACATAAGTTTATTATGCATAAAACTGAAAAAATTTACAGTTTAAAAGACAATTTGGAACGATTGAGTAATCAACAGGAAAAAGAATGATTCAACAATTTTCCCTGCAATATCCTTTACAGGCACTCAGCCCCACTGAAGTATCGCACCTGTTTTAATTTTAAAATTTCTTACTGATGTGACAAGATCACAAGTGTTTTCTTTCAGTGACTTTCTACACATTCAGTAAATGTGTTTCTCTCTATTACTGTTCCTTTTGAGATAACCAGCAATGCAAGCTAAGTCATTGACTTCCCCTACTCTAAACTGAACTCCGTGAAGTAAATACCAGGCTTTGACTACTTGTATTGCAAAAGAGCATATCTGTTGTGGACCTTTCTTCCTGAACTGCCACCTGCTGCTGGCCCTTAGCCTCTCCTTCTGTAGGTCATAAACAGCCATTCCCTCTAATATTCTTTCCTGCTCCATGGGCCTCCAAAGCCCATCTGCGCCAGCAATTGCAGTTAATGCTGCAAGCAGCAAGCCAACGCAATTGAACCATGGAGCATCCAGGCAGCTTAGAGGGAATGTTAGACATAAAACCTCAAGTTAGCAATAGCAACAATAATCACCAGGGTGTTTAATTAAAGTCAAATAATTTCATGGAAAGGTTGTCTTTCAATCACTGGTCTAAGTGATATTCTGACCCCCTTTTTTTAAGAAAAGGCAATCCCAGCACTGAAAACCAAAAACTCATTCATCTTTACCTAAGAATCAATGCTGCTATACAAGAATATTGTACACAATCATCTTAATGGCTAAATTGGCTGTGTACCAGACAAGCCAAAATCTTTACCCCTTGGACTTGGGAAGCCAGGAATCGAGCAGGAAGGGAGCGGAGATACTCTTGGGAACAAGGGTGTCAAAGGTGGATATAAACACTTGTTTAAACCAGTTACATAAACATTGTGGTGATTGAAGGGCCAAAGGCCAGAGAGTTGGGAAGTAGAAAGCGCTGTTTAACTCACCTGGGAGAAAAGGGTCTTACAGGAATGGAAACTAATTGGTCCATGGATCCACGTGATCACTGGATCATTGGTGGGATCCTCTTCAGATGACGGGTGTTTGACCAATACCATGGAGAATGTTTGTATTCTCCTGTCTGGGAGGACTGCTTTCGTGAATATAGGGAGGGAGTGGGGATGAGTCTGTATAAGCCTGAGTTCCCTCAGCCCATCATACCTCGGTGTAATAACGGTGTGATATGTTCACCTTCCACTCTTCCGAGGTTCATTTCATGTTCTGAGAATTATTTTAAATTATTTTGAAATGCTTTGTTAATTTGGTTTATACGGCACACTGTTGTTTCTCTGCTGTGTGTCAACATTTATTGATTTGTCATCTGAGTGTTTCTATTCACTGAAACACT